ACTGAACTCTTGAAGCTCAAGCAGGGTAAGCGTGATGTGCACGCTTACGCACAACATATACGACATATCACGAGTTGTATAGGTTCCAACCCGGTTGATGAACGCACGTTGGTTTCGGTGTTCATGAAGGGTCTTGCGGATGGTTCCGTCAAGACTCACCTGTTCCGAATTGAACTAGATTCACTAAAACAAGCCGTTTTCATTGCGGAGCAGGAAGACTTCAGTCTGAGACAGGCTCGCGCCAGCTCGACATCGTATCTTCAACCGAGACGATGTGACAGCGGAGGTCCAGAGCCGATGGAACTCTGTTATGTAGAGAGCGAGAAGGCTCGCTCTACAGACTACAATAAGTTGCAGAAATGCAACAGATGTCAAAAGACAGGACACTACGCTTATGAGTGTGGTGCCCCTCGTCCAGTGTCTTGCAACACTGGGCGTAATGACCGTCCACCCATGAGAAAAGGTCAGGGACGCGGGTCCGCTGTTGGTGCAAAGACGCAACAACGGGATGGACCGTCAAAAAACGGACAGGATCAGTAGGTGCGGAGCACCCTACTGGTCCAGCAACGTCAAGAGAATTTGTAGGCCTCTTGATGAAGGTTGCTCCCAACACACAAACATTGTGCGTTGCTGCTCTAGGTAATGAGATCCCACTCATTACCTTGAAACTCGAAGTGACGAATAAGTTGTCCCTTCGAGCTCTAGTCGATTGTGGGGCGTCCAACAATTTTGTGCGACGCCAATCGCTAGAAGATGGTCATTTTAAGTTCAGTGTATGTGACACACCTCCTACGAGGATGACGGTACGTCTTGCGACAGGCGCATCCGTAACCGTCATGAAGAGTATAGTGACGATTCACTATACGCTAGAAGATACCCAATATGACGCTGACTTTATCGTACTGGATTTGGATGACAAATGATGTCATCCTTGGAATACCGTGGCTCAGAACGTACGAACCACTAGTTAACTGGCAACATCGAACAGTAACGATGCCTGCCGCTTGTTCATCAGATGGCCATCTGATGACGGTTTTGGAGCGTCCACAAGCGTGTGGATGTACTACGAGTGAATGCGACGGCCTCACTTGTGGTACGGTCGTTAGTACGACTGCACAAAACCTTAGTGTAACAAACATTTGCACTTCGGAGCAAGGTTCCGGCGGCTGTGAGGAAACAAAGGCTGCGCCGAAGGTCCACCACTCGATTAAGTCGAGTGGACCGGGACAAAGATGTATCCCTAGCGGGGAACATCTAGAAGAGAAACCATCGATCGCTCAGGTTAAGCGAAACGATAATCCTAGATCGACTGGAGAGTCTTTCGTAGAGGATCTCGCTGAGGTTGCGCAACCCCAGCTAGAGGAAGTTATGGGAATAAGTTCAGATATTACAGATACGGCGGAAATAAGTTCCCCGAAACCCGCGGGAATAAGTCCCCGGGAAGCCGAAGGAATAAGTCCTTCGAGGTTTGAGGGAATAAGCCCCCAGGAAATGACAGAGACATTGAATGTCATAGTCAATAACGGATCAAGTGTAGGCGCTTATACACTTGATCTGATTGCGCCTCCGAAGTTGACTTTGGAGATCACTCAGTTGCCAACTCTCGAATATAAAAGGTTCTTGCGTGATCTGCGTAGTGGCAAAGTCAAGCAGATCTGCGTACTCGTCGCTGACGACGAGTGTGTAGCCGACATAAGGTCAGCAACAGTATTCACTGAGAACGAGATAGTTCTCAGTAGTTCACCTATGGACGAAATCGTCCTAGATGAAAAGACACGAGTTGAGCGATATGACTCCCAATCGTGGGAATCGCTCAAGACAAATCCTCTCTATGAAGATTTGGTTGAATTCAAGGATGTATTCCCTGAAACTGTTCCGTGCGAATTACCGAAGGATAAAGGTATTCGACACGAGGTCGAGCTTAAACCAAGCTCGAAGTACTGTGTCATGAAGCAGCGGCCACTGCCTCGTGAACAAGTACTTGCGATCGACAAGTTCTTTGCCGATCGTTTAGCTGCGGGCCATGTGAGGGAATCAACTTCTCCACATAGCTCTCCGACCTTCTGTGTGCGAAAAGCAACAGGGGGTGGCGGATAGTGCATGCATTTAACAAGTTGAATGCTGCAACGGTACCGGCTCAGACGCCAATACCAAGGAAGGACGTAATCATTGATGGTATGTCAAAGAGTACCATCTTTTCGTCCATGGATTTGATGGATGGCTTCTATCAAATCCTTATGCGAGAACGGGATATACCCTATACCGCAGTTAGCACGCCTAGCGGCATGCTCTGGGAATGGCTAGTAATGCCACAAGGGCTTAGTAATGCCCCTGCCACGTTCAACAGATGTGTATTACATCTGTTGAGACCAGTACGAGAATTCGCGCCGAGTTATTTCGATGACGTATTCATCCATAGTCGGGCTATGGATGGAAAGTCGGATGTTGAGGTTCACAGGTACCACGTCCGACAGGTTCTTACAATCATGCGAAAGCATCAATTGTATGCAAACCTCAAGAAGTGTATATTTGCCGCAAGCGAAATACCACTTCTTGGGTGCATCGTTGGTAAGAACGGAGTACGTACTGATTCCGAAACGATCAAGGCGATCACCGACTGGCCTGTGCCGGTTGATGTCAAAGGTCTTCAAAAATTCCTTGGGATAGCGGCGTATTTGCATAAGTATTCACGCAATTACGCCGAGATGACTGTACATCTCTCTCGTTTGTTGAAAAAGAACGAGAGGTGGTTATGAAACGCTGGATGTCAGCGCTCCTTTGATGGTATCAAGCAGAGCTTGATACAATCCCCAGTCCTAGCAATTGCCGATCAGGACAGGCCATTTCATGTGGTCTGTGATGCCAGCGATTTTGCAATCGGCTGTGCATTAATGCAGCACGATCTTGAAGGCGATGAACGCGTCGTCTGCTATCAGTCGCGTTAGCTGCAACCAGCTGAGCGGAACTATCCAGTGCATGACAAGGAACTCCTTGCCATGAAGTATGCACTCGCGAAGTTCAGAGTCTATCTATTAGGAGATAGACCCTTCATTGTTTACACTGACCATGCGTCGTTACGCACGGCAGTAAATAGCCCGCACCTTTCACAACGAATGGCGCGGTGGTTGTCATTCTTTGCAGAATACAACTTTACGGTCGAGTACAAACCAGGACGACTTAATGTCGTCGCTGATGCACTCTCACGTCGTCCCGACTTTGAAACAGTCGTGAGACCCAACCGTGAGACAGTCACTGTTGCGGTTATGACGTCCTCAGTCCTATCTACAACATTGTATGATGATGTGAGGCGGGCATACGCCCAAGATGGTGAGATTGTGAAGTTGTTGACACATCTCTCACAGCCATCTCGAGAATCGTTGAAGCGATTGTCGTCTGCGTATCGATCTGGATCAGATCGATACACTACCCGCAACGGTTTACTGTATTACACAGCCGTTACTGGTGACACACCACGTGTTGTCATTTCAGATGATACTGATCTGCGTTTGCGGATCATGTTCGAGTATCACGATGCTCCTATAGGAGGACATCGTGGCCGTGAGAAAACATATCTCACGGTAAGTCGAGACTTTTACTGGCCCCGCCAGTGTCAGTTTGTGCGAAAGTATGTTCGCGCATGCGAAGTCTGTCAACGAGTGAAGTCTAGTTCTTCACTTTGTGCGCCTTTACAGACTCTACCAGTTCTGGTAGAGTGCTGGGAATCCATCTCAATGGATTTTGTCTTCGGGTTACCCAAAGACACACGCGGGAATACGGGTATTCTCGCATTTGTTGACAGATTCAGCAAGATGGTACACCTTGTGGCTGTACCAGAGTCAATAACGGCAAGTAGCTGTGCTTGTGTCTTTATTGACACCATCTTCCGACTTCATGAATTACCCCGTGAACTTGTATCCGACAGAGATCCACGCTTCACTGCTGATTTCTGGCGTTCCGTGTTCAAATCACTCGGAACGCGCTTGAAAATGTCTACATCTGATCATCCAGAGTCAGATGGTCAGACGGAACGAGCCAATCGTTTCCTCGAAGCGATACTTCGAGGATGCGTACACTCCTTTAAGATTTGGAGTGAGTTTTTGCCAATGGTAGAGTTTGCCATTAACAACTCGGTGCATGCGTCCACGACACATACACCGTTTTACGTGAATGGCTTGCGCCATCCGCGTGTACCCACCTTACTCGAGTGTAACTGTGATTTAAGAGGGGAGAGACTCGCGCGAGCAAAAACCGATTTGTTTCACGCTCATCTCGCTCTGACGATGAGGTCATTGCGTTTGATGCCGATCTCGACAACATCGATATCGAAGAAGATGATGCCAGTGAGAGCGCGGAAGCCCTCACTGAAGAAAAGATTGATGTTGCTGCAGTGCACTCACAGCGCACTGAAGCTAACGAGTCATCAGATGAGTTCATACTGGCTCATGAAACGGTAGGTCGTTTTGTGCAAGACTCCATCGCCGAAGCGGTGGATAAGCAAAAGCAAAACGCAGAAAAGAATGGAAGGGCAAACACTCTTTTATTTGATAAAGGTGACTTAGTCCTACTGTCTACGGGTAATCAACCGAAGCATGTAGTGAATAACTTGGGTAGCAGTAAACTAATACCCAAGTACATCGGCCCATTTCGTGTATTGCACCGCCTAGGCAATGCATACACGATCGAGTTACCACGTAAGATGCGAACGCATCCCACGTTTTACGTTGGTCGGCTTAAGCCGTACCATCAGTACGCTGCTTCTTCCGATGAAGAACGCCCTTGCGCTCAAGCATCTCGCAGAGAGCCTTCTCCTCCCGATGGTGGATATCAGCAATGGCCTGAAGAGCAGTTGTCTCAGCCCGAAACCAATCAATATCCCCGCGAGCTACCCTTAGCTCGTCACGCAGAGATGTCAAAGCTCTATCGTTCTCAAGCTGAGCACAAGCACACTCAGCTCGATGCTTTGAGACAATGTCCGCCAGTTGGAGACGCCTGTCCCGCTCATGTTCGAGGTCGCCGCGCAACGCAAGAGTTACGCGAAGAAAGAGTCTCTCGGAGAATACACGGATCCACACGATCGTGTGGAGAGCGTCTTTCCTCCTCCTCCACCTCCATTAGAGGACTCTCGAGGTGTCCAGCGCTATCTAGTTGAGCAGCTGTTGAACCACCGCGACGTGAACGGACGTCGGACGAGTTACCTCGTCCGGTGGCGCGGTTATCCCCCGTCCTGGGATACTCGGGAGCCCCGTTCCCAACTGATGACTGACATACTGGGTCTGGTTGAGCAGTACGACACGGCACATCCTGTGCTGCAGAAGGACCGCCGGAGAAAGTCTTCCCGGCACGGTCGTAGAGGGATTTCAGGTTGTCAATCCCTTCGTACATCTCAGTAGAGATACGAACGCGCCACCACGGGCTAGTAAGGAGGTAAGCCTCCTTAGGTGCGCGCGCAGAGTTGTATCCACAACAAGGGCACGGGTCTCCCCAGGAAAGACAAAGTAACCCACCATCCTTAAACAGACGATGCATCTTATAGCGTGCACCTGTCGGGGTCTTCTTATCTTACTTATCACAAGCTTTGATAAGTTTGTCGTTCCAAACGTCACGACCTACATCCCCAAGGTTATGGATGTAAGCGTTCCACGCTTGAAGCAGTGAGGGACCATCACGTTTGTGATTTCCACTGTACCATCGATGCTTACAGAGTGCATCGATGAAGAACTCATGTTCAGTGTGGTAGTCTATCGCACTGGGGTCAAGGTGATGGATCCTTGACGAATCGAACAATCGCTTTTGATAGCGATCACTTGTCGTCGTCGACAATCGATCGATGACTGAATTGGAGGCAGCCATGCCTTCTTTTTGGGAGCGAGACGCAACACGTTGCGGTCCCGCTCTTCCTGCGACGCGCCGACAGAAGTATTGGTACCTCGCTGCGAAGTGGTGTCAATAGGAGAACCGATACCGCTGTGAGCGCCCGAGTCATGCGATCTCGAGCGCCTTCGCTTTGGCGATGGTTCATCTGATTCGTCAGACGAACCAAAGATGCTACGACGCGTAGCATCATCCATGCCACGCTTGGCAGGCGGCTTGGTTTTAACCGCCTTCGATACGGACCCCTCTTCTGTATCAGGAGAGTATGAGACACCGAGCTCATACTCTGTGAAGACATGAGTGTCTTCACGAAGAGCGTATGCATCACCAGGTTACACATACTGAGACGCTTTAGCAACCGATGACACATCGGTTGCAGCGGTTTCTGCTTCGGCGTCTGCACAGAGACGTGCAGACGCGCTCTCAGCTGCATTGTTCGCGCACCGCATGGGCTTGTTTACCATGCGATGAAATTAATGGACTGTGGACTCGGACCAACAAGTGCAAACCCCGTCCCAAATTATTTGGGACGAGTAGTCCATTTAGTCAATCAGTCACAAAATAAACTGACGGTTAAGGGGGGGGTGATGTAACGGGGTGAATCGTTACATACAAATTTATAAGAAATTGTTAATAGAATATAACTACAAGAGTCATATTCTCAGAATATTGTCATAAGGACAAATATTGTGTAGCACTTACGAGTAGTTACTAATTGGTTGGTATAGGCCATTATATCAACCAACGAAGACGCGCCACGACAGACGCACGCAATGAGTGGTGAGCAGATAGGTGATATACACATTTGTATTTAGACATAGCTAGACAAGGATAAACAGTGATTCATTAACAGACATTAACTATTGTAAATACAGTTCAACTTTTTACTTTAACCAAGTACTCGCTTCATCTTACCGTCTTCCTCTGCACGTACCAGTGTACGTGAAGTTACGCGGCACCGCCTTATTCTGTCATCGGAAAAGTAGCTTGTACTATAGTACAAGCTTGAGGGTGCCCTGTTACAGTATCGGCCTGCTCGCTATACATCTTCCTGTGAGCCGAATGATTAGACGTTTGAAGTGACGGCTCGTAATTGGGGCAGCCTTTAAGCACATTTAACTTCCGAATACCCCTTTCTAAGATATTACTAGTTAGAAAAATTGAAGCATCCTTAAGTCTTTATGCTTTGACGCTGGCCTCGTTGCAAGTGCGGTAAGCGAAGTTGATTGTGTTAAGGTGGCGAAAACTTTAAGGATCTGTTCTTTCTTACCCTCCTTTATCATTTACATATGTGTAACGTGCTTGTAGCATAAGAAGCAACACTGTGAAACGAGAAAAACCCTTTTTAACTATACATTCCACTGTCGACCTCATCAATCACTCAATCACATAATCGATAGGTCGTACAGTACTAGGAGCAGAAGGTCACTTGCAATATCTTCGTTCGAGATCAGGCTTTCGCCAAACGTGAACTCACCTTTCCCGGTCTTTTCGTTTCTGATCATCGCATACAAAAAGAAACGGGCAATAAATTCGGCGTGATCTGGTCTGGCGTTGGCGCTCTTTTTTCAACCTTCAGTACATTAACGGCACCTCGATTAGATATAAGGAAGACGCCGTTACAGGGGAGCTCGTCACATGGTGCTGACACCAAACGGTGTCAACAGGGAGATTGTCTAGCGTGACAATCTACTGCTAACATTACCCGAGTTAGGTGATATTGAAGGAATAGTATTCCTTAGGATAATATTCACGTGCTGCTCGAAGATTGGTTGACATAAGACAGATCAACCAAATTAATACCAGTCGCTGCTAGACGCGTGCAGTGGGTAGTGAACAGGTTGTCGTCATACGATAATGTAATTAATATAGTTAGATAAAGACTAAAGTTATGTTGATAGCTTAAATATACATACTATACAGTATTCTTTACCTTTGCTTAAACTAGCGGTTTGAGTAGATTATCTTCCTCTGCACATAAGAGTGCGAGTGAAGTCTTGTGGCACCCAGTCTAAGGGTGCCGTTTTACAGACACGCTTTTCAGCAATTGGACTTCTAATTGTAACGGCATAATTTCGGCCACGTGCGAACGTCTGCACAGTATCCTTGAATTGCTCCCGACTGGCATACTCGAACTCGGGGGAAGAAAGCATTTATCGTGTGGTGCTCTACCTGGAAACGATGGAGGATCTAGAACACATGTGTGAGTAGCATGTCGGATGTTTCTTACCTATCAATTGTTTATGAATGGCAACGATTATCGAGTGAAGTGTAACGGGGCACCCTTTATTTGGGGTGCCGCGAAACTTCACGTACACTAGTACGTGCAGAGGAAGCTAATCTACTTGAACGACTCGGTCAAGTTTAGGTAAAAAGAGAACTGTATTTAATATAGTTAAGCTATCAATATAACTACAATCTTTATTTAACTATATTAAACTACGTCGTCGTATGACGACAACCTGCTCACCACTCATTGCGCGCGTTTAGCAGCGATTAAGCTAATCTATGGTTGATATGTCTTATGTCAACCAATCTTGGAGCTGCGCATGAATGTAATCCAAAAGGGGATAATATTCCTTCAATATTATCCATCTCGGATAATTTTGATAGAATAATGTCATGCTAGACAATCTCTCTATTGACACCGTTTGGTGTCAATTTCATGTAACGGGCTACCTCGTTACATAACCCCCCCTTCTTGGACATTAACCACCCGTTGATTATTTAGAATTGATTGGGACAGGGTGACCACCGTTGGATCACTTTGACAACGGGAGTACGTTTTGGTCAAATTCCATTCATTTCCCAATCCAATGCATGGTTCCAAAAATTACGCGAGCTTCTACTGCAGAAGCAAGAAGAGCGGCTGCACGCATGCGTGCGGCCGCGGAAAGCGCCTCTCACGCCTCAGCAGAAGGCGATTCGTCTCCCGTTGTCGTGAATCCTCCACGTGGTGTGTCACCACGTGCGACAGGTACTTCCCTTGCGTCTGCAGAGGGTACCTCGAATCGTAATCCAGACGAGTCTGAGATAGAGCTCATCTATTCCGGCGAGTCGGATGATGCATCCGATTCGAAGGCGACACCTCACGCCTCGAGATAATTCGGGGCGGACGCTGCAAAAGCCAGGCTGACTGTCTCTGGTCAACGCGGCGGTAACACGTCCGAGATATTCGGATCAAGAGAGTGATTATTCCGATGAGTCTCCACCTCACGCAAGTCCATCCAACGATAGGAAGCGTAGAGATGGTGGTGATTCTACTATACATAACCACGAAAGAAGTGACTTAAGGGATCGGGGTAACACTGGTGCCAGTGCTCTTGATAGCACCAATCAAGAGGCCAGGGGCCGAAATGTCCTGCGCCACGCGCCCCAAGTGGAATCTCCGTAGATGCCTCCATCCAGAGAGTTTGAACGGTTGGCCGGCACGACTACCGAACGGGATCGAATCCCGTTATTCGATTGCAGGAAGATTTGCCCACCTGATTCCAGCACGGAAACTATCCGTTCTGAGGAAGAATTCTTTACCAATGCGTTTTTAAACATCGGTGGTACAATGGCAGCTGTGGTCGAGACGGTAAGGCGTTGGTGCAAGGATGGAATTCCCTCATCCATAACATCGATTGCATTGGCCTTGAGGCCTGGCTAGCCGAACTTGATGCAGCTCGCATCAGGTTTGAGAAACGCAACCCCGTCGGGGCGCGATAAAAGTGCACCGGCTATCAAGAGATGCAGGATTACCCTGTCTCTTGTGGGGTGATTCGTTTCTAGGTTGCCTAGACAATTCAAACCGTGCCCTTAGGGAGGCCTACCTCCCTAATGATCCATACTGGAGGGCGCTCATCTCTTCCGAGATGGACGAAGGGATCGACACTTTGCAATCACTGTACTCGCATTCGGGGAGGTCGTTTTTCGACGGCCCTTTTTCAAACGCAGCGGGTGGGTATCGTCGTACTGCTCGACGAGACCAAGGACATCAACAATCAGCGGGAACGAGGCTCGTAGCTGTCCCACGCCGGTGGATTGCCACGCCAGCGGACGAAGTAACTCGTCCGGACGCCATTCATGTCGCGGTGGCTCAAAATACGCTCCACTAGAAAGCGTTGACCACCTCCTGAGTCCACCAAAGGATGTGGTGGAGGCAGGAACACCTGATCCGGCTCTCGAGCCGGATTAGCTTGATGTTCAGTAGTTGAACCGTGTAACGGAACAGTTGCACGATGACCTGGCTCGTGAACGGACTCGGCGTTATGAGCTTCATGGACTTGTAAGGGATTTCTGCAATTCCTTAGTGCACGATCGTTCGGATGATCGTACCGCTTTTGCGTTCGCGCAACTTAAGAACGAACCTTCGAATCGTTCTCTTCGTGACGAGCTGACTGTAGCTCGTCGAGACATCGTTGAACTGCGTGAGCAGGTCGCTTCGCTAGTCGACCAGACTGGCTCATTGAAACGGGAACACTCGAAGGTGGTCTCGGCTCTCGACCGCGGAGGTGTTCTTCGCATCTCGAAACGGGCTCGTACTGATAGTACGGGCGGAGACGACCAACGTAAAATGTAGGGTACGTACGCATCTTACGGGGCAGTTCCCAATCGTGTATGCGTTGCCCATTCGGCTCAACACACGAAATGCACTAATATACTTAGGCAGTAATTTTTTGCTGTCCACGTTCTTCACCGCGTGTTTCGGTAAGTTTACTGCAGACAGTAAAGCTAGGTCTCCTCTATCAAATGAAAGAACGTTTGCTCTTCCATGTTTGTCTGTATTTCTTTTCTGTCTGTCTAGTGCATCTGCAATCGAGTCTTATACGAAGCGGACAACCGTTTCGCGAGTCAGCAGAAATTCCTCTGCTGATTCATCCTTGTCAACAGCAGTGCGCTTCGTGTGCACTGCTAGAAGAACGTTGTCTTCACAGGTGAGGGCGTCATCGTCCTCACTTTGGCAGTCATTGGAGATGCTGAATATACCAGCATCGTTGTCATCATCATCATCGATATCGATGTGATCGACATCGGCACCAAATCCGGATTTTATATTATTTCAACACCAATAGGTCTTTTAACGAATTTACAAGCTAAAAAATTAAATGTCCCATCACGTCGACACCATTGTCGGCGTGCAATGAGCAAGAACCAGATCGGTTTTTGTTCGAGCGAGTCCAACCGCCCCCTTAAATTAAGGTCACACTTTAAGAAGGCGGGTAAACGTGGATGGCGAAGGCCATTCACGAAGAACGGTGTATGTGTTGTAGACGCGTGCACCGAGTTGTTGATGGCGAATTTCGCCATCGGCAAGAATTCACTCCAGCTCGTAAACAAGCGGACGTACCCTCGAAGTATCTCTTCGAGAACGCGGTTGACGCGTTCCGTCTGACCATCTGTTTCGGGATGGTCAGAAGTTAACATCGTCAAACGTGTCCTAAGTGAACGGAACACGGATTGCCAGAACTCCGCTTTGAAGCGGGGGTTCCTATCGGACACGAGTTCACGGGTAACCTGTGAAGTCGGAAGATAGCAGTGATGAAGACACGCGCACAGCCCTGGGCTGTAGTTGACTCGGTACAGCAACAAGATGTACCATCTTGCTGAACCGATCAACAAACACAAGAATGCCAGTATTCTCGTGAACGTCTTTGGGAAACCCGAAGACGAATTCCACCGATACGGACTGCCAACACTCTGCTAAATCGGAAGAGGCTGCACGGGTGCGCGGGATGAAAGATTAGGCTTTCCCGTTGACAAATTTCGCAAGATCGAAGGCATTTCCACACAAACTCATACTGGCGGGGCTAGTAGAAGTCACGGCTCATTATGCGGTAAGTCTTTATCTACCGCGATTCTCACTTAATGGGGCATCGTGACACTCATATATGATGTGCAATCGCAAATCATTATGAGCTGGAACGACGACACGAGGCGTGTCGCCGCTGACTGCTGTACAGTACAGCAGTCCATCACGAACGGAACACCGTTCGGTTAAAGAGTAGTATTGAAACGTTAAGCTTCCAAATCTTTACTGAATGGCTTGGATACGTTATCCATCAAATTCCGAAGAGACTCATCTTCTGTGTATGATTTCCACACGTCGTCGAGCAGGTTTGACGACGAAACCTTCACTTATAGTGTTGCTACAGTGGGGTCACGCCTACTGCTGGGTTGAGTAGTCGGCTCGAAATCGGGCCGACGCGAAAGAGCATCAGCGACGACATTGAGTCGTCCTGGTTTATACTCGACGGAGAGGTTGTACTCCGCGAAGAAAGACAGCCACCTCGCCATTCGTTGCGAGGGGTGTTAAATCTTTACGGCCCTGCGTAACGACGCACGGTAGGTATAAACGATGAAGGGCCCATCTCCTGATGGATTTACCCGAAACTTAGCCAGTGCATATTTCATGGCAAGGAGTTCCTTGTCATGCATCGATTAATTTCGCTCAGCTGCTTGCAGCTGACGCGATTGATAACAGCCGACGCGCTCTACGCCGTCTGAATCGTACTGCATTAACACACAGCCGATTGCAAATTTGCTGGCTTCACGGACCACATGAAATGGCCGATCCTGGTCTGCAATCGCCAACACAGGCGATTGAATCAAGCTTTTCTTGATGCCTTCAAAAGAGTGCTGACACTCAGCGCTCCATGACCAACTCTCGTTTTTCTATAGTAGACGATAGAGATGCACGGTCATCTCGGCACAGCTGCGCGAGTATTTGTGCAAGTACGCTGCCAAGCCAAGGAACTTTCGAAGTCCCTTGACGTCAACTGGCACAGGCCAGTCGCTAATCGCCTTGATCTTTTCCGGATCATGGCGTACACCGTTGTTACCCACGATGCAGCCAAGAAGTGGTATTTCGTTCGCTGCGAATATACACTTCTTAAGGTTCGCGAACAACTAATGCTCTCGCATTAAAGAGGAAACCTTATGGACGTGGATTCTAGAAACCTCCACGTCCGGCTTTCCATTTATAGCCCGGCTATAGACGAAGATATCGTCAAAGTAATTCGGTGCAAAATCTCGCACCGATCGCAACAGATTCGTAACACATCTGTTAAACGTTGCAGGGGCGTAACTTAGCCCTTGAGGCAGCACTAGCCACTCCCAGGGCATACCACTCGGGATGCTCACTGCTGTGTACGGGATGTCCCGTTCACGCATGAGGATCTGATAGAATTCATCCATCAAATTCATGGACGAAAAGATGGTACTCTTTGCCCTACCATCAATGGTGACATCCTTTCTTGGGATCGGCGTTTGAGCCGGTAATGTTGCAGCGTTCAGTTTGCTGAACGCGTGCACTATCCGCCACCCTTCTGTGGCCTTTAGCACACAGAAGGTCGGAGAGCTATGTGGGGATGTTGATCTCCTCACATGAACAGCCGCTGAACGATCGGCAAAGAACTTGTCGATCGCTGTGACCTGTTCTCGAGGCAGTGACCACTGCTTCATGACACAGTATTTAGAACCAAGTTTCAGTTCAATCTCATGCTGATTGCCTTTGTCCTTGGGCAGTTCGCATGGCACGGATTCCGGGAAGACTTCCCTGAATTCAACCAAATACTCACATAAAGAATTTGTCATCAAAGTTTTCCGATATCGAGACGTCAATCACCTAATCCGAGTCTTCTCATCGAGGACACTCTCGTCCATCGATGAGCTACTGAGAACCCGTTTGTTCTCAGCAAACACTTGTGCCGACCGAATATCGGCGACGTTCTCGTCCTCTGTGACGAGTACGCAGATCTCGCAAAAATCTTTTAGATTCTAGCGTTTGCAACTCGATAACCTCCGAAGCTGACTTCGGGGGTTTAACCAGATCAAGTGTATAAGCGCCTTTACTTGATCCGTCATTCACCATTAACTGACTCGGAAATTTCCTGGGAAAACACATCCGCAGGTGGTTGGGGATCCACACTCTCAACATAACTCTCTCGGGAGTTATTGCTCCCAGGAACGCCGGAATTTTTTCCCGTTACGTGTACTATCACGGTCACGTCCTCTTCGATCGACTAAAATCTAGTCGATCGGGCTTGCTTTACGATCGACTCTCTGATAATCGATCTCGCTTTAACGTGTTGTTCATCCTGAACAACACTAATCTCTCTTCTCGGATGCACCCTTCTCGGTGTGCATCCGTGTTCCAGTCCACTCGATCTCTTCGAGTGGTGAACCTTAGGCGCAGTCTGTATCTCAACACAGGTGCCGGAAACTGGTTCCACAGCGTCTTGGCCTTCTACACTATGATCTTTTGCAATCATACTAACGACCGTACCACAAGTGAGGCCATCGCACTCACTCGTAGTACATCCAAACGCTTGTGGATGCATCAAGACGTTCATCAGATGGCCATCCGATGAACAAACGGCAGGCATCTTCACGGATCGGTGCTTCCAGCTAATCCATGGCTGGTACTTTCTAAGCCATGACAGACCGAGGATGACACCAAATTTATCATCCAAATCCAGTTCGATGAAGTCATCTTCGTACTGCTTTCCTTCTAGCGTGTAGTGGATTCCCACTACACGTTTGTTCACTGTTACGGATGCCCCTGTAGCAATCCCACCGTCATCCTCGTTGGAGGGAACTCTCGCTCAACATAGTTGAGCCTACTATCTTCCAGCGACTGGCGTCGAAAGAAACTGTCGACGCACCACAGTCAACTAGGGCACAAAGTAACATTCCACTTGTCACTTCGATCTTCAAAGTGATGAGGGATACCTCATCACTAGGGGCAGTAACACACAGCGACTGTGTGTTGGAAGCAATCTTCGTCAAGAGTCCTGCAAATTCTCTTGACGTTGCTGGATCAGCAGGGTGCTCCGCCCCTACTGACCCTGACCGTTTTTGACGGTCCGACTTGCTGTTGCGGCTTATCGACATGTTCAGACCTGCGCCTTGGACCTTTCTTAGGCCAACGGCGGTCATCACGTCCTGTCTTTGGGCGTGATGAGGTGCTTAAGACACTACACTCATGTGCGTAGTATCCGATCTTCTGACAGCGATGGCATCTTGCCGTTTGCTTGTTGCTCTGGGACCGAGTTCTTGCTCTCGATGTAACAGAGGTCCGGAGGTTCGGGACCTCCTGTTTCCTGTCACCTCGTCGGACGATAGTTTTTACGAGTTAGCCTGAGACTGTCTCAGGCTGAAGTCTTCTTGTTCCGCACACGCTATCGCTTTTTCAGCGTATGGAAGTCCTTTTGGAACATGTAGGTATTGACCGGTCCATCTACAAGGCTGTAGCTGAAGACTTTGATAAACGTGTGCTCATCAACAGGTTATTACGTGACGCTACTCGCAAGGTGGCGTAGGTGTTGTGCGTGAGCGTGCACGTCACGCTTACCTTGCTTGAGACTCAAGTATGCAAAGCGTGCTCTGAATTCGGCTCTCGGCGGATCAAACGTCTCTTTAAGCCGAGACTTTAAGATTCATAACGAGATTAACACGTTTGGGTCGTGAAGCTTGAGCCCTAAGGCCCAAGTCTTTGCTCGTCCTGTCAAATTTGACAGGTTGAAGTGACTTGCATCTCGTTACCCTCGATGTGACGGGCCCTGATGGCATCGTCTAGCTCGACGAACCATCTCAAAAGGAATCTTCATCGGTTCCCTTGTACCTTGAGATATCTGTCTTCAAGGTTTCGGATCGACGCATGTGTGTCGGCCCGCCCATCGACTGATGAGAGCCTTGCTGATGTAGCAAGGCTATCTACTGTCGTTCGACGGCAAGTTCCCCTTGTAGGAACTTGTTGATAGCAGCATGTTGCTGGTCTCTGCTTAGAGACTCCGACATACCACTGTTGGCGGGTTCGCACATGAGCACACTCGTGCGGCCAACTACCTCCCATTCTGAGTCATCCAGATGAGTGTAGCCGTTACGTGTGACGTGAAAGCTGTAGTCTTCTACGTTCAACATATTCATGTTGGACGGACACTAAATAGTCTTTGGACGGACTACGAAGTGCTACCAGGTATAACGGGGCACCCTTCGTTTGGGGTGCCGCGAAACTTCACGTACACTAGTACGTGCAGAGGAAGCTAATCTACTTGAACGACTCGGTCAAGTTTAGGTAAAAAGAGAACTGTATTTAATATAGTTAAGCTATCAATATAACTACAATCTTTATTTAACTATATTAAACTACGTCGTCGTATGACGACAACCTGCTCACCACTCATTGCGCGCGTTTAGCAGCGATTAAGCTAATCTATGGTTGATATGTCTTATGTCAACCAATCTTGGAGCTGCGCATGAATGTAATCCAAAAGGGGATAATATTCCTTCAATATTATCCATCTCGGATAATTTTGATAGAATAATGTCATGCTAGACAATATTCCTATTGACACCGTTTGGTGTCAATATCATGTATCGGGCTACCCCGTTACATGAGCCTTTGTCAGAATACAAATTAAATTGAATAGAGCTTTAATACAAAAGTTATACAAGGAACGGAGTGAATTTAAGGGAAAGGGGTGTGAATTTCACAATTTTCAAATTTCAACGCCGACTGCCAGTACTATATCGGGAAAGATAGGCTGGCATAGGTATGTCACAGACACAACATTTATAAGCGGACGATCTGTGTGGTAGGAGCATCAGCCAAGATCGACAAGGTCCTTTGTTAAACGCAACTACTGTATCATCTTATAAGAGTGCAGCAGCTATCTCCTGATGATCAACGGAGACGGTGCTGGATAGCTCGTCGCCTCGCAAAGCGACATGTATCGGTCTAATAAATTATGAAGCAAAGTGGAAAAAAAAACAAAGCAAACTTTTCAGAGCGCGATGCTGTCTACGTGGAAACCGTCCCAGTCGCGTTAAACAGAATCTTTGCCCCAGCGAGCAGTCCATTTGTCACTGATTTGCCACCACGCCAGATATTCTGGCATGACGACCGGTGAAGTTAAGACGCTGTAACGACGTGGCTTGCATGCTCCGATGTGAGCTCGCACCACGACTTCGTGCTACCCATACCACCAAAATAGATCCACGGATGATTCCGCACCCATTGTATGAACCAATGAGGTCTCCTAGCTTCTGCTGTCAATGACTGCTTCAGGACACCAGACCATCGCCAACGATAGTACAATAAAGGCGAGCACGTCATCTCGCCATGCTGTCGCCATTTCAATCAACCACATTCATCCTCACTTCATGTTCATTGCCAATCGATTCGCCCACCGCTTTCCAATTGGCCGAAGCTCGACATGTCGAGTCTCAGGATCACCTTCCACATACGAGATCCTGACCTCCAACCTTTCTCTCGGCAAACAAGCTTCATCCAAGCGCTCTGGCCACTCCACTAGCGTAATCCCTATCACCAGAAAGCAGGAGAACAAGTACATCATGAATCGAAACTTGCGCACAGCTTATCTCGTACACACACCACCAAGTCGGTACCTTGTTCAAATGCCGCAGCCAAACCAAAAGCAGCTGCATCTTGTTCCGTCACGGTTTGTAACCGGTACAAATCCACGTGATACACGATCGCCACGTCAGCTGCTTCATCGTACGTATTGACCAGCAAATACGTTGGAGACGGCACGACCATCTCTTTTTGACGCGTGTGTGCCCGCACGAACCCTCTAGCAAGACACGTCTTCCCACAGCCCAAATCTCTGCGAATTTCGACACACACCAAACGTCATCAATTGCATCACATACATCAGCACAGCCACTGCATTTCCTCTCCATTTCTAATGCATAAAAATCCACATCAACAGCTTCAAGGCTCGTCAACGAACCCTTGCAGAAAAAGGACGTCGCCGGGCTGTCGCCCGTGAGCCAATCGTTCGCCCAGCAGCTCCATATCTCGTGGAGATCGAATCATCGGAGTGTGAGACAACCACGGATCGGTAGTTGCTTCCTTACTTGTACTAGACGAGCTAAAATAAGATCCATTGACGAATGCGCAACGCCGTAAGCAGCTGCGGCGCAGTAGAGCTACACTGGAGCGCTGCAATAACATGACCGTATGTTTGTTACAGCATGTGTTTGGTTGTTGAGTACTGTGCATGTGGCATACACAAAAACAGAGCCCATGTTTGTGTGGTGTACGTAGATACAGCGACCATGGACCTATTCAACACGGCGTCTTATTGGACAAAACCAGGCACTTCAACGTCGACTTGGAAATGGTGCTGCAGCTTCGTGATCCTTGTCCAATGTTGACACGCTAAAGTAGGTCCGACTGCTGTCGACTTCACAAGGGGACGACAAATGGGAAGAGAAGAAGAAAGAGAAGAAGAAAGAGAGGGGGTGTCAGCATTGGTGTGGTCTACATGAACCACACCCTGCCCCGCACTCATTCTTTTGCTCCAATCAACGCTCGTCAATTGACAATGTCAGGCTGGGTAAGTGCGTGGCTGCAGAACAAGGGCGAGGGCGACCACGAGAGCAAGAGCGAAAGCGACGCGTCACGAGGAAGCACGACTGCGCTTGGAGCTCAAGGTGCCGCGCCTGTATCCGCTGATGAGATCCGTCGTAAACGGCTCGAGCGGCTACAAGAGCAGCAGCATGTGACGCCGCCGTGTATTTCATCCAATGAGAACACGACAAAGAAAACGCAAGATCTTGACATGTCCATATCAGCCAATCAGATGACTGCCCTAACCCCACCCGCACTTAAAGCTGAAACATCTGATATGGTTTCATCAGTACGTAAAAAGGGCACTTCACCTAATGTTTACGTCAACAATGTACTACAGCGCGTTCTCCGCGTGACGCTGTCGTCTGCTCGTAGCAGCAGCGACTTGCTGCTCTTGGAAGTCGACATGGCTACAGACGAAGCGCAACCCAATGAGCTCTTGAGTCCAGCAAACGTCAGTGAAGTGCTCTACGCTCGCGTCATTCGGAATCCGGCAGATCTTCCTGGAGGGTCGCAGCATCCGCTGGCTGCTGTGGCTTACCTCGAGCAGGTTTTCTATCGCTGTCGAGACGAGATGCAGAAGCTCCAGTCGTCGTTCGTTCGACTACCAGCTGAGATCAAGGAGCAGACTCTCGAGTGTCTGCAGAGTATCCGCGACATGTGCGTGAATTACAGTGCCACGGCATTGACAGATCCCGAGATCTTCCCATTTGAAGCAGGCACGATCAATGTTGATGCATTGGAGAAGATTGTGAGAACACAGGCTAACGCAGAGACACCGGAGTTTGTTGACGGTGTTGTAGCCCAGCTGGAAGCGGGCAATGCCACGCTGGCCGTGTTTGCACCTATCTTCCAGAAATTACTGTCGGAGCTGTTTCTAATTTCACCACCGTCCCTGATGTCCAATTTTTACTCCAACATGTACACACTCACGGTGTTGTGTCGCAATAAGGCGTTGGCGCTAGTGTTTACGCAAATTCCTGGATTCTTGCTCACAGCAGGTCTACCTATGACTGGTCGACGGCTTCAGGATGCTACAGCGCTCGGATTGTTACTGCGCTTTAGCTGCAATCAGGATCCAGCCGTCACGCAAATGTTCACGAATATTACGAAACGCACGAAGAATGATGTGGACAGCTCGATCCTGACTATTCGTAACAAGCTTGATAGCGTCCAGACGTCAGTTACGGATATCGTCACGTTGCTACTGAAGGCTGGCGCGCTCTCTCGTGAACGAGTACTGACATGGTTGGAACAGGCAATGCAGGCGAACGCAGAGCGGGCTAAAGAAAACCCGGACGTTAATATCACGGCAACGAACGGAATGTTTGTCAATCTGACGATGGTGCTGCTAAAGCTGTGTGGTCCTTTCATGGCTCCGAAGTCGAAGAAAGTTCAATTCATTAAGACAGATTATTTGGCTAGTCAAAACCCGTTGTTTCCAGCTGACGAGACAAGGTTGGTCGGTTCAGGTGCTCCAGATGCAGATATGGCCGAAGACGACCGCCAGGTAGTGAACGCCTCTGACTTTCATTTTGTCACGCGTTGCTACTTCATCACAGTTCGGGCGATGCACCTGGGACCTGTGGGCATGATGGGGCAATACATGCGTTTGCTCCGCCAACTTTCTTACTTTCAAAGTCGCATGGGTGATCAGAATGCAGACCCTCGTTTGCGAGCACACTTTGACCAGATGGCCACCACGAAAATGATTATGGACGCCGAGCTCTTGCACCCGGAGTTTTTGCATGAAATGATCCGCTTCTCTTTGCTGACGTGTGCAGTCGTGAACTCTATCTGTACCGGATTGGACATGTACGACGAGCGTCCGGTGCTCGATTTGCCACTGCCGACACCTGACACAGACGCGAATGTTGTTTTGAAGCACATTCCCGAGCATTTGGTAGACGACTTGTGTACAACACTGAAGTTTGTAGCTCGAATTGAGCCGAAGGCACTGAATGCGTTCGAGCTGAAGGAATTACTCAGGATGATCATCATTTTCCTATCCAGCCCAGCATATGTGCACAGTCCTCACTTGCGCGCCAAGATGAGCGAGGTCCTCTTCCATGTATTTTTACCATCGGACGAGTCCGATGAACGTGAGACTGCTGGAACGGCTTTTGGAACGGAACTCCTCATGACGGACGTGTTGGCACAGCGCCATCTTGCTCCGTGCCTGTTGGCGCTTTATGGAGATGTTGAGCACACAGGTTTTTACGAGAAGCTCGAACACCGCTACAATATCGCATGTTTACTCAAGTATATGTGGAAGCTGAATGGTCACAAGCCAGCCTTTCTTCTCATCGCCAAAGACAAGGACAACTTTATGAAATTTGCGCATGGGTTGATGAACCACATCAACAGTTTGGTAACAGATGCGCTTGTCGCTCTACCTGAGATCAAGATGCTACAAGAAGAGATGAACGATACCACGCGTTGGATGTCCCTTGACGAGACTGTTCGCGAGCAAAAGCAGAGTCTTTTGTCGGATAAGGAGCGGACCGTCACGTCAAGCCTTCAGCTCGCCAATGAGACTATCCACATGATGTCATACCTGACGTCTGAGATTCAGGAGCCTTTCGTCGAGATGCCGGAGCTTGAGGACCGCCTTGTGAGCATGCTGAACAGCGTGATTGTCAAGCTTGCTGGTCCGCGTGGCGTGGAGCTTAAAGTGAACAATCCGGAGCAGTACAAGTTTCGCCCGAAGGTGATGCTGAAGGAGATCGTGGAGACGCTATTGCACTTCGCACACTACCCAAGCTTTCTGGAAGCCGTGGCCACAAATGGCTTCTATGATGGTGGGGTGTTCCGTAAGTGCGCCCAAATTGTGGCTCGTACGCAGTTGTTAGACCCGAGCGACGTCCAGAAATTCGGGACGTTTGTGGAAGATATCGGGCGGGCTGCTGAGGGAGCAGCGATACGAGAGGAGGCTCTTGGCGATATTCCAGAGGAATTTCTTGACCCGTTGGTGTGTACACTGATGAAAGATCCGGTACTGTTGCCTAGTGGGTACACGATGGACCGATCGTGCATTTCCCAACATTTGCTGAACGACCAGAGTGATCCATTTACCCGCGTACCTCTGACGGCGAGCCAATTGCAATCAAATACCGACCTAAAGATAAAAATTGAGCAATGGATCCTTGAGCAGCAGCAGAAGTCTGCCGACTCGTAGAAGGGTAGCTGGTCAACCAATACAGAGACGAACAGGCTGTTCTTCGTTCGTATTCTATGATTGGTGGTTGTCTCGTGCTAGCAAAGCGGCATTGTTGAAGTAATCGATCGATCGGTTTGCTAGTGGTCAAAGGCGTGGCAAAAAGGAATGTGTTGGTCCTGTGTTAGATGCTGTGCGTTCTGCGTGCGTAAGTCATGGTTACTGGTATGCATTTTGCATGCAGCATGGTATCCGCGCGCCCAGGTGTATCACGTATCAGTCTCATATTCCATGCCGAACCAGGACTTTTTGCCAACCACTGCAGTAGTTTTGATGTCTTCCGCTGGTGGATATTGTACTCGAATATCTGATGACCATTTGCTTAGTTGCTTTGTGCTACAACGTTTACTCGAAATAATGATTGTAAAAGTAGTCGCCAAACTAGAAGAAGTCCGAGTCAAAGTGTCTTGCATTTTGAATTGCAGCCAGCTCTTTATGCGGATCTCGCTTTTCAGCAGTGATTGTATTGACGCTTTGGTCGTGACGAACGAGTGAGCACACCGGATGCCACATGAAACCTTCCTTTGCATTATACTGCTGCCAAACATGATCAAACACGGCAAGCAGCTCTTGTATGAAACTTCTAATCTCGAAGCTGTAGCCAAGCCAATTTTCGTAAAACACCCCTTTTGTCAGTGCACGTGTTACGGAAGGACCTGTTGATTGACATGCTATCTACTACGGCAGCGAGTCCGATGCCCAACATGCAGAAACTAAAGACCGTGTTGCAGTGTCACCCTTTTCGTAGAATCAAGATGTAGGCCTAAAGTATAGAAAACGCGACAAATAGACTGGTTGAGATTGAACGCAAGTAGAACCTGGGCGATCTCAAAGCTGTTTACAGAACTCAGATGCTTTCACTCTGTGCGTGCGTCATAGCTATGGCGCGTGTTTGTACGATGAATTGGACGAGATGGAAGTAAAGTATGTACTTATTTGGGACTTGGCAAAGTTTTCGCCCCGATCAGAATGGTGCAAAGTAACCAACCGAGTAAACTCACTCCGTAATTGACGTGCGTTCTTTGTCCTCCTCATTCCTTGCAGACTTCTGCAGTATGTGATTGCAACGATACTGGACCGATCAATAGCTTTCACGGATATATCCTCTTTCCCGCTCTCTCGATATGCCAACTGAGTATAGCCACACGTTCTTGTTGTACTCACACGACTGTGCAGTGTACTGATGCAATATAGATTCGGAGCTAGTACTGGGTTGATATCAGCATGGCGCTGTTCACAACTTGAATAAATCGGTCAAGCTGTGATATCGATCAGTAGGTCAGAAGATGCTACCCAGAGCATATAGTGTGCCACCGTTCTTCGCAATAGCGTATGACATGCATCTGATAGTGTCAGGAAGCTCTTTTTGGTAGCAGCACGTGACACTACTTGCAGTATGCACGATATAACTCGAGGCACGCTTGTTTTTTTGCTTGTCACACATGAACGAAGACACAAATGTGAGGCATGCGTATGACATAATGAAGTTAGCACGATGTTTATCCTTCCAGAGCCTTGCCTAGCTTCTTTGTGTGTCAACGCAGATATTTACAAGATACGGTCGGTGCAGCGTACTGTGTGGCTATTCACGCAGATCGAGGTATTAAAGGAACCGCCAGTGAAAACTATAGCATTGTCTGAGGTACAGCTAGTACAGACTTATTACTAACACACGCTTTTGTTTGACAATGATCTCGAAAAGCATGTCTGTCATGATCCTTTTGTGTGTGCCAGAAGACAACTTCAGCAGACTTGTTGAGCTATAAAAGAACAGACCACCGTCTTTCCTAGAACAGCACGTCGAGGCCATTTTTGACATCTCCAATCTGCACGCAACCACGCTTAGCTTCCTCGTAATCAAACAAGGCTGGCCAAAGCTGGGTGATATTGAAGTAGCCAAGAGCAGCTACCACTGAAGTAAGTAAGCTAGAACGGTGTTCGTACCATACCACAATCATTCGTCGAGTGAATGACTCAGAAGTGATTTCATAGTCGGCTATCCGTGAGCAAACATATCTTGAAATACGTTGACATACACTTCAATTCCGTTGAGGAACACGTCCTTCGAGAGACTTTCGTTGTGCTCGTGCAAAAGAATCTCGGTTTGCTTCATTGGGGAGAATCCGATGGCGGGTACTCCAATCTTGCGGAGGAAGCGACTATCCGTAGCTGCTGGGAAAATCTCTGTCTCCAACTCCACTCCCATGCGGGCACAGGACGACTGAAAAAGCTGCCACCAGGTATTGTCAGCATCGAGTGAGGTGATGTAATGCTCATGCATTGGATTCGTCCACGACGCAAATTCCCAGGAGACGCCCACGGTAGCGCACCATTCATCTAGTTTTTCGCCCATTTCCTTAAAGTCCATCTTAGGTGATACGCGGATATCAAATCCAGCGATGGCTTCGTTCGGGATCACATTAAGGGCATGGGTCTTCCCACCGTCCTGCGAAACACCACTTTGAAGCGCCGTGATATTAATCGTCGTAACGTCTCCGAGGGTTTTCTTCTTCATGTCCGCGTGCCTGCATCCGTCATCAGCCCCGAGCGCCTTTTCCTGCTCGTCCCGAAACGCCAATGCTTTATTACAGATGTCTAAGATCTTGGAGACCGCCGTATCCTTGATGAAACGGCTGCCATGACCTGTTGGCCCCTCTGCCTTCACATACACCCACCATGGAGATCGTTCTCCATAGAACACCGTGAACACATCCTTGGGATTTGCCAAGCCTTCGTCAAACGCGAACGCAACGGGCATGATAGCCTTGAACGGATCGCTTTCCAAGAGTTTCTCCATTCCCTCTGCACCTCCAATTTCTTCGTCCGGCACAAAGGAGAGGTAGACATTGCGCTTGGGTTTAAACCCTGACGAGAGGAGGACGTGCACAGCTTCAACGTACTGAATGCATACGCTCTTCATATCTTGTGTTCCTCGTGCGTAAATGCGACCGTCACCCAGGACTTGAGCCTGAACTCGACACAACGACAAGTGAGACAAAAGCACAAGTGGGACAGCGAGAGATAACGCAAAACGCATTGTCAGTCTTCTCTTCAAAGCTCCAGACACAAGCTCTTTTATCGAGAGTGCTTACATCAAATGGATCGTACTGCCAGTGCTCTGCTACCGCTGGCACCACATCATAATGCGAATTCAAAAGAATCCCTGGAAGCGTCGGATCTTCTCCATGCCATGTCGCCTGTAAAAAAATCAAATGCGGCAAAAATCTCTATCAGACGCAAGTCCGTAAACGTATTAAAATGCATCGAACAAACCACCACGATACTAAAATCAAATAAATAAGATCGACCAACGAACCAGCACGACAGGTTTATGAGCAACAGGTGCAAACACTTGGACCGGGAGGCCAACTAGCACGACCACGTATAGAAACACCGTCTTATTCCTCCACCCGCTTCTTCTTGTTCAATAGAAATGGCCACATTATGATCGTTTGATACAGTAACGTTACGACATACGTTCTTCAAGGTATCGACGTAGCCACTCCGCACACTGTGACCGTTCCAGCCATATAAAAAAAAACACAACCAGTCCCTTGTCAGCCCTTCACGCACACCACACCCTAATCCTGCTCTTCTTACCTCTTCATAGCTACCACTCGGTCCTTCCGAGCTCACCGTGCGCAGACGCAGCAGCTCGAGAAACCGCTCGACTGGATCCTTCCACTCCATTCGTAACGGATACTCAACTTGTCGGGCGTAATCACGTCTTTTTTTTTCTTAGTCGCTGCTTTAGAAAAAAGAACCCTTTCAATTGACCACGTTTCTATCCAGCAACTAAACAGCTGGTGGCAATTTGAATGGACGAGATTCGTCACGCGATTCGCCACGGCCGCGACTTAGCGACTCGAGGCGCCTACGAGCGCGCGCGAGAGACGTGGAAAGCAGCTCAACGCAGCGCTTACCTCGCTCAAGACCGCGCTGCTCTGTTCGTCTTGTCGGTCAATATTGGAGAGGCGTGTGTCCGTTTGGCAACGCAGTCTTCAGATTCTAGAAACGATCGAACACGGCAACAAGTTACAGAAGCAAAGGCGAATCTCGAGTATGCGCTGCAGTTGGTGACAGAGTGTGGGTTTGAACGAGGGGTGGAACAAAACGGCACTTTATCTCGAGGAGTGCGGCGAGCTGAGACGTTGCAGGATGAGGTGGCAAAGCTGTTGGACTCTGTGATGCAAGTGGTGGAAGAAGGACCGATCGTGAGGGATGACGAGACGGAGGTTGGGTGTGCCACGTGTGGAGAACGTGGAGGGAAGCGAGATAAGATGGTGCTGGATGAGAGGGACAGCTGCTATTACTGTCGAGAGTGCTATGACGAGTATTATGCGACGACGGCGATTGGTGCTGGTGGTCATCAGATTGGCGACGAGTCAAGTGTGGGTGAAGCTAGGAAAGTGGCGGATAAAGAAAAGTGTGATGGATGCTATGGTGATGAGGAAGGAGACGTGGTTGTTGATACTGTTGCGTCCCAGTCGAGACGGACAGTTGATAGTGTTGTGCGTCATGAAAAGAAGGACGAACGGATCACTGAAGTAGATGGAGAAACGACTGATAGAGTCGTAGTAGATCGTATCCGATACGACCGTGTCGATCTAGGATCACTCGCAGACTTTCTGGCTGGAAGGAATGAGGTTGGCGACAACGCAGAGAAGCTGAGAAGTAGTAAGCCGATCGGCGGTATGGATGATACAACTGTATCAGTAGCAGCCGCTCTTGCTGATGACTGCCACGTCCAAGTATGCAGCAAAAAGCCTTCCGCAACAAGTGACAAATTGCGGGAGATGCCTCGTGAGACATGTCTAGCTACATCGGAGGAAGTCGCTTCGTGCACGGAAGATACAGAGCTGGTGGACGAGGACCCAGCCGATCAATCTCAGGAAGAAAGACGCAAGTACTCGGTCGTCCAATTGCTGGAACTTCGAAAGGTCTCGCCTTGCGGTTGTCCAGAGTCTCTCTTGGAGTCTCCCGTGCGAGATGACGGTTCAGTTTGCAACCGCTCTCATAGTAGAGCTGGTTCTTCTCGTAAGGCATCAAGCACCAAGTCGTCGTCACGGTAAGTGTTGCGTGGTGCAGAACCTACAACCATGACTCACAGTGTTGTCTATGTCTAGATCAGCGGCATGCAGTAGGCCAAATGGCACAGTCATCAGCGACTTTGCACCGGCCAAAACGTCCGAAAACCCCGAAGCTACACTGTTGAGCTCCCCACTTCCGTCATTGGCATTGTGCGATACGTTGCGTGAAGTTTTTCAGCATACACAGCAAACGGATATCGCTGCCAGCTGCCACAACATGATGATAGCTTCTGGAGCATCAAATACGTTGTCGTGTAATTTGTCCAGCATCATGCCGATTACGGCAGTAGTGTCTGACAATAACTCGGCTTTGCACGATTGTGCAGGTCGTGAGCAGCAGCAGCAGCAGTCGACTGTGTAATAAATCACAATTAAGTTCAAGCTTGCAGCTGTATTTCTTACTACATATTACTGTGACGAGTCTAACACGGGCGTTAGTTAGCTGATGGAAAACTTCGAGCATTGTGTTTGCGACTACATTCGTAATGCTGGATTGCGTGACCATTTCCTGTATATCCAAGTGTACCAAGTATTGGAGGACCTCTGAACTGTCATCTCCATCTCGAGAGAAAAAGAGTGATGGTCTCATCTCGCACCACGCACGCCACACAGAGTAAGCGACGAATGGGAGGCCACGAGGCCACACGTGCAGAGCTGACGCGGTCCTTTGGCATGCTGAAAGAAGCGCTGCAGGCGACACCGATCACAGATGATCAAGAGGTGCGTGTCTCCTTTTCTAGCTCATCGTGCGTCAATCGTGGCTATCGATTGACTATCTGCTTTTTATAACATTCGCTTTTTATGAAATGTCTATTTTTGTCTTTTTCTGTAGGCTGTTATGGTCACGCGGATGTGCGTTGACTCGCGCTATATTGAGGAATTTGAGCGTCTACTGCGCGTGATCCTTAAGACGACACACACTGTGGGTCACGTATCGACTTGCGTCGTGCGTCCGCCGCCTGGAGAATTCACCTACACGTCGATCGTACGTGCTTTTTTGCTTGCACAACAAGTATTATTTATGGCATGTTTTGTAAAAAGTGTTTTTTATTGATCAGGTCAAGTATTCGAACCTACTACTAATGCGACAGACTTATCCGGCTACCATTGAAGACGGTCCAGAGTTTTACAAACTGCTGGCCGCACGTGATTCCCTGCTGCTTGAGCCTCCTATGTACGAGATTGAAGCTGGCATTTTCGGCACGTGGATCGAGTCTGACGGCAATACGAAGCCAATGTGGGGCGACGACCCCGAAGAAGACGTGAGTCTCATGTATCAGAGCGTCCCTGGTCCGTGCTGTAATGATTCGTGTGAAAACCCGCACGGATTGAACGTCCGAGCGTCTTTTGTTGCTCCTACCAAGAATTTCCAGCTCTTTCGACAACGATATCAGCGGAACAATAAGAAAGGGGGACAGAAGAACTTGCGCTGCTTCCCGTGCTGTCGGAATGGACATCATGTGAGCTCAGGTTTTTGTGGAGATTCGATTAAAGTGCACGTGGCAGTCAGTCGCGTGACCAAGTCAGGAGGTGTGAAGATGTGCCCCATCCATATGACCCGTCCAAGCGTACTGGCTTTCGCGCGTTTTCTGAACCTTGACGGCGCTTTCGTCCCAACAGTTTCGGGACCAGAGGTCATCCCTGGACAGACGATTGAAAAGGTGGAGGTGCTGGCGTGGGTGCGCGACAAGCAACACCCGATGAGCCCGCTGTTCCCGGGCATTCTTCGTGGTGCCGCCATGGAGACATCATCTCAGTCGGCCATTTTCGAGTTTAATGCTGAATGCAAAGCATGGCATTACGGTTGGACTGCTCCACGTGGTCAGGGGCTATCAGGAAACGATACGCGCCATGTGCTGGAAGTGCTCTTTATGAAACCAATGGGCTCGTACATGTACTGTCTCGAACGTTTGCGCTCAGACGGCTTCTCCATCTACTCCAGTCGTCGAGCCAACCCTGCCGCAATCAAGCCTGAGGCTGATGCTTTCGCTAGCCAAGAAATTGATGACATTAGAAACCATAAGCGGAAGCGTTTTGCTCACGCGGAAAAAGCAGCTTTGCCTCCAACGGATACGACGATGATGCCCCAGTCTCCAGCCTCTCCGGTATCGACGGTCGTGTCAAGCTGTCCAATAAGCTCTCCTATCTTTTCACCCTCGAAAGAAAACATAAGGAACGGACGCCGCCAAAGTGTTGCACCTGCGATGCGAGTAACTACCCTCTCGACATCCGCTGGCTGTGTTGATTTTACGTCGCCGATGCATGATGTATTACCATTCAAGATGGAGAGTATGTTTGGGTCGATATCATCCCCTCTGGCTGTCTGTCCTCCATCGTCTTCCGTTCTAGTGGACAGTGTGTCGTCAGGTTTTGACTACCGGGGTCTGGAGAACCTGATGTCCAGTAACGGAATGCCACAAAACCAGAGCTCGTATCAACAACTTCAGCAACAACTTGGTCGACAACATCGACAAGTACTGGTAGACCAGCAAAACCAACAGCTTTGCAGACACCAGCGCGAACAGCAAGAATTGTTGCAGCACCAGCAGCGACTTGTCCAGCAATTAGCGGACCAGATGATGATCAGCCAACAGCAAGAGCAGCAACTGCATGTGAATTACTCACAAGGCTCCTCGGAAGAGCTCCAGAATCACTCGCTGTTCCAGGAAGAGCAAACCGCTTGTCGGGTTGTTTCAACGGACGAGCTGCCGTGGACCGAGCTGTACAACTTGTTCGACCCGTCTCCGCCTTCTCCCGCCAGTACTGACGATGACCCTGACAACGACGAGGAGAGCCTGTCGAACCCTAGCAGTAGTCCAGCACCGTTTCCGACTACCAAAGTGACCATGGACTTCTCTGTGACGTCTGTACCGCAGACTGTTTCGAACCACTTCTAGTGTAGCAGCTCAAGAGACACCCTCGACTGTGGTTGTTGATCCACAGCAATGTGCACGCGCAGGAAAAGGGTCCCCAGTCCTGAAGTGAACTGCGAGTTGAGGCAGAGGCAGCAGAGGACACAGGCTGCAATCGATGCAGCACCTTAAGCGTGGCTGAAGACGACCACACCGATATGCACACAGCGCTCACGTGGAAAACAAGCACTACGCATGCTCAAATCAGAGAGCTAGAGTGAGAAACGAGGCGGGCAAATGGCAGACGAGGGGTACGCTATATTGTAGTCGAGACTGGAAAGGTGATGACTCCGGTGCTCGTTGTAAATATCCCGTTCACTGTAGATCCCTCGTAAAATCAGGTGAGCGGACCTCTTGTCAGTGAGTGTCAAGCTTCCAGGCGACACACAATGCCCTGGTGTCGCATCATGTCTGCTGTTTGCTTACTGAATCATAACCCGCTTCAGGTAATAAATTAGCTCGTTTCTTCTTCATCACGACGACGCAAACTCTTTGGCGTGGGCCATACACCAGCCTTTGCGTTGGGCCCACTTCGAGCATTTGTCAAATCGACAGCGCACACCGCCGCCGTGCGTACGACACAGATGCTTCAAGTGAGCCTTCTTGTTGCATCCTTCGACGGCACAATACTCCCCGCCGCCATGAGATTTGCACAGTCCTTTTGACTGAGCTGCTCGAATACAGCCCTCCTTCTTGCACCGAGAGCCGCCGCCATGCGCGATGCACAACCCGCGGCTCTGACTGTTCTTCGTGCAGCCCTCGAACACACAGTGGTGTGCACCTCCATGTTTCTTGCATTTTTGATGGGACCGCGCCCGATTTTGACAGCCTGGAAACTCGCACTGCCGACTGCGTGGACGCTTTTTAGCCTTTGCGCTAGATGTGCCAGATACAGCTGACGTCGACGTGACTGTCGATGTGACTGTCGATGTTGAAGCTACAGTCCCGTCCGAGGCACCTGCCGTTTGGCTTGTCGCAGCCGGAGCTGTAATCAGTGGCGATCGTTCGTCGTGATGCAATTCCACTCGCTTTTTCGGCTCGATCGCTGAGTTTTGAGGCAAAGTCCAGTGCGAGCTCGCGACCATTTCCCTTGAAGCTGCTTCAATGGTCGAGCTCGTCCCGACTGGTACAGCAGCGCAGGGCGCATCCACACGTCCACCACGAGACTTCATCATCAAACGTTCCGACACATTCTCCAGTCCCGTCGTAGCTCTATCTCGTTTCACAAGCTGCTCAGCTGCAGTCGCAGACACGAGCGACTTTTCCAGGAGCGATTCTCTTGTACCCATTGGCAACTGGGCACCATGACCATTGCCACTTTTCCGGTCAATCGTCACGAGCCGATCCATTTTCATACTGCAATTTGTATGTGTACCGAGCGGCGTCGTGGGCGAAGGACCGCCGGATTCCATCGTCTCGTTCAAGTACGAGTCCAAGTCCTGATGGAACTCCGACAGATGCGGGTAATCGATCTTCAACTCGTCGTCTGACGTCAAGTACAACGAAGACGGAGCCTCCGGCGCGTGGTTCGGCCCTGGTTCTTGGTGGTGGTGGTGGTGAGGGGTACTCTCCGTCTCGTACCCCAGCACGGAGTCACTATTGCCAGGTCCGGTCCAGAGCGAATAGAGCGTCGGGTCGTCCTCAGGCAGGAACGAGTCCACAAACATGGCCACTCCTCCTCCTCCCTGCATCGATCCAGAGTCTGCTCCCGTACCAGTGCAATGGCCCTGCATCCCCATTGGATTGGCAGTAGAACTACTAGTACTACAAGTACTAGTAGTGCTTCCACTGGCACAAAGTGCTGTAGCTTGAGCTGCTAAGGTACTGGAGGCACCCCGCAGCACCCCGCTGTTAATAGTATGGCGAGGGTAGAACACACCTCCCCAATAATTGGCGTGACAATCCGCTGACAATAACGGGTCAATACAAAGTGGTACAGACAAGGGTCCCGAGTGCGATGAAGCGGGTAGGGCTACTGGTGGGGGTAGGGACAAGAAACTACTACCACTGCTCGTGTTGCTGCTGCTACTTGACCGCGAGCGCTTGGGACAGGACGGGAACCCGGACGCCGCAGTGAGCAGGTGCTCGCTTGACGCCGGGCGCAGGGGCGAGTAGAAGAGCACCGCGTTCCTGGCCGCCTTTGGGCCCACGCTCGGGCCGTCCATGCTGCGGTGGGTTGCTGCTGTCCTGTCACGTGTTCCGACCCGGGGGTTCAGTGCGCCCTGCGACATGTGTGGGTTGGCAGCTGCGACACGCGCGATGAGACGAATGGCCAATAAGAGACGTGCATCTGGGCTGTCGTGGCGAGGAGATCCGCTAGGAGTTGCACGACCTTGTTTTGTGAATTGAGAGCGACTGCTTTTGGAACAACAGGTGTGACTGATGTGGTGGGTTCGGCCGGATTGTTTTTACGTGTCGGGGTTTGCGATGTTTTTAGTTCATGCTGTGCTGGTCTCTCTCTGTTGTTTTATTTGTATGTGTTTCAGTATGCTGGTTGAGGACCCCGTTGCTGGCACTTTGTTGAAGTGGTGAGGCTGTCTGTGTCCTGGAGGTGCAGTGAGGAATGGACTCTGCCTCTTTTTAGCAACACGCGGTGTCATGATTTGGTCTGGTAACAAAACAGGGGAAGAAAGAGAATTAATGGGTCAACGAACAGAGCGGCGAGATGATGTGTGCGTGTCAACTGTTTGTAAACAGAAACGGGACGAGATACAGGTGTATTGCAACCTGTGTTATTCAGTATTAGCCACAACAGTTTTTTTACTCGATCAAGAGATCGAGATAAAACAGGTGTAGCGGGATACACGTAACCCCATCGGATCAGTGACCAAGATGCATCACAAAAAGTAGATATATTTTATATAATATATTTAATCAGGATATTACGATAAATCTCGATATAGACAGTATCAGGATAAAACGTAGAATCAGAAATCATGCTTTATCCGGACGATATGAAAGCTTGCCGGCCTCTCGAAACGAAAGCGTGTCAATATTCAAACTGCACATTATCTACACGACAAACTCGACGGGATGTGGCGATAGCAAAAAGCGTGTGGACTGCAATCATCACCCCTTAGGTCCAAAAGTAGTTGGAATGAACGTATTGCCACCTGCAATCAAGCAGCTTGTACTTTGTGTGTCAAATGCTTCATCACAGACGTAATTAACAAGACCAACACACTAAAGGCTCATCACGCCGGCTCGGGTCTACTTCTAGTGACTGAATTAGTGCTAAACAATTAGAGTTGAAGCAAACGTCCGGCAGCAAATGGCTACAGGTGACGCCGTACTTTAGTCACGGCGGGTGTTTCTGCAACTTCCTGCTAGAAGTCGTATCACACTCTACTATGATGCGATCTCCACATAACAGAGACCCCCTTGGCCTGCCCGCAGCGATACAAGTCAGTAATGAACTCAAAATCACACTCACAAGTCATTGATCTTCTCGTCGACCGAAAGGGAGACCATAACCGCTCGATTAATTGGTGTGGTGAGCTCGTTAGGAGCGTATCTGCGTCGTGTTGGAGAGCCTTTGGACCGCTGCTGCTCGTACCCTCTTTCCAGAATGCTACTGCTGCCTATGAATATGCTATTGGTGGTGGCTGCACTAAGTGTTGCGACCACAATCAGAATATTTTGTTGACGTCACGGAGTAGGCAGTTGTCAGACTGAACCGCTCGACGAGCGCGCATGCCATTTGACGCGCGGTTGTGGCTTGCGGGTACCGTGAACTGCAGCTCCAACAACCACATCATTGGCAAAAGTCTTTGGAAACAGCGATAGTTGATAGTATAATCCATTCGTAATGCGAGAATGGTTGATAGTGTAATCCATTCGTATGGAGAGTCAAGTTGAAGCGAAGGCTCATCTTTCTTACCACGCTCTGTCCGTGAACACGTCGAACGATGAAGGTGGCGTGATACCTGGATTCGGTCGTGGAGGATCGTTGTGACAAAGGCCCAGTCCACGACTTTGGACGCTCTTTACCAAAGCCTGGACTCAGGCATCGCTTTAGTCCATTGTGTCGCTTCCAGCAGCTAAGTTCCTCGCTAGGTTCAAATAGCCTTCCATGCAGCAGAACTTGCGTTTGTCAAGTGAAAAATGTGGACTTGTTGGTGATTGTCATCGCTGTAAAAAATGATGCACCTCCTCGCTTAGGTCCACTTTGTGGTGAAAAAGAAAACAGACAGTTGATGCTGCACCACTGACACTAAGGTTTGGTCAATCTGGATGGCTATCAAGTGTCTGAAGCGAGCTGCGAGCTGTCTCGCGCCAACACCACCATGGATATTACTGAAGAATGAAATATCACAACGATATGTCTCGGGCTATTTCACTGTCAAAGTACCTGTCTAGCATGGATGGCGGCTACAGACTGGTGCTTCAGCGACGCGAAACTCGTTGATGATGTCGCTATTGACCTGCGCCCGCTATTTGCAGTTGGGACACCTGTAGCAAAGTCGTCACGACATATTCACACTAGATACTAAAAAGGAGGCCCTTGTCCGTAATCGATCCCTTGCAGTAGGCCATCCCGCGTTTGTGAAAGTAGTCAAGCTGTGAGCAGGTAAAGCTGTGGAGTATCAGTATTGGAGATGAGGACAGTGGCGGTGATGGTTGCAGATACTGACGTACCGCTCCACTGGAAACGCCAAATCTTGCGAAGTGAACTGGACAAGTAGCTGCACACCAAATTGTTGTTGAGGCAGAGGTAGCAGTAGTTCCTGCGACAAGGCAGTGACAGGAGACTTTGCAGTAGCACGGTATCGATACAAAGCTGCATATGCCTGAGCAAATGGGACGGATGGGGTGCTGCTGCTTCCTCCAATTATGGTAGTTTTAGCGAAGGTCAAGCTCGAAGAACCATCCCTTCGTTGCCTAGCGCATGTGCTGGATTACCACTTCTGTATAGGTGTCTGTCAGCATGACATGGCACTTCCAGTGTCTTCCTTGGACTGAATTGCTCATATGAGAAGGCGGACCTCCTGAGCTTGCTTCCCTATACCTACTGTAAAACATCGACGAATTTTCGCGATCCAAACCAACAATGCAGATCGAAACGCCCTTGGTGGTTCGACGCTGCTCTCGGTGATAGACGTATACGGAGATGGAGCCGAGAAATTGCATGACCATCAAGTACTCTATATTAGGTGTTACAAGGGCCTCATCTTTCCTGTCGGCTAGTAGTCGTTCTCTCGAACGTTGTACATGTTAAGGCTTCCCTTTCACCTCTGCGACTCATGTCCGGTCCTGCCCGAACAATCCACACCCCAGCAATATCACAACGAATAACAACAAAGAAGTGCTCACAACACGCAAACAGGAGATTTAAAAACGCCAAATGGATGAATCAACAATTTGTAAACGCCACCCGCATCCTCCGTCGCTCGAAGCCGTCTTCGCCTCCACTTTGGTCAAAAAGGCAGACTTAGCTTGGCACTGGTACTCTGGCACATCTATCGATTACGGAATATCACGTCTGCCTCGAACAGCCGTAGGGGCTACATCCTGTGGTTTGGACCGTGCCAGACGAGTATGCACGCTGTGGACTTATTTTCCTAGCAGGTTGACAAAATGCTAAGTGGAAAGCATTGAAAAAGCATCACAATCTCATCAATCGTCCGGCTGGAGCTTTTTAATCTCCTTTCGCCATACTGCTACAGTATCGTGATGGCTGATCCTGCCGGATTTTGACCGCTTCGCGCTATTTGCTACATGAGCTTTTGCAAAGCGAAGTGCAGTCTGCACGATCAACGGCATGTGTGACAAGCACGAGCGCTACGAGTGTGTTTCTATTACGCTTCAAGCCGCTAAAATGGTGGACCTATTGGGTGCAAGCTTTTTGGCAGTGGTAAAGAATCACGGCTCTCTTTGGCTGGGTGCAGCAAACGGATTGTTTTTATGGCCAGCGGTGCTGCATGCTGTGCACTCGGTGTGGTCTGCACTTTGGCCTACGATACTCTGTACGCCTACCGGGCGAACAGAATGTTACGTAGATTGGTGGCTGCTCAACCGTGATGACATGCAATTAAACTGTACTAGATATGTCACATGCTTCTACCGCCACTGGATTTAGTACTAAGGATGCATGACTAGCAACCATAGCGGGTCGTTCTTCCTTGCTCACCTCGAGGAAGCAGTACACCTGAACTGAACTGGCAACAGGCGCGACAGAGCTCGACGATCCGCTTTGTTTGCAAGCGCGCTTTTGCTTTGATTACCTGGTAAAGGGCACTGATATCCGACGCAATTATCCCTGGCAAAATCGAGCTTTTATCACCAGCTGAAAGGAGGACGGCCACCCATTCACAACAATACGTTAGCTGGAACGATTTTCGTAAAGTCCCTCCCCTCAGCTCGTACAGTTTGCATTATAAGTTTCGTACGCTGACCTTTGGTTCATACAAGAGCAGAACAATGGCCAAGCACGCATCTAGAGGATAAACAAGTGTTCACATGTGTGTGAGGTTGATTCGATTTACACCGGTCCTTTGTCGGCTATTAGCGCATAGTTTTGATCGAGCTCTGTCGTGTATAATCGACTCGCGTAAGTATGTACAGTTGCTGTACGTAGAGCACAAGAGTGACTGTTGTTCATCTTATCTCGAGGACCAGCAGCATGATATCCTCGACAGTTTCTTCTTGTCGCTCGTATCTTCTTCCAATTTCGAGCCGTAACGCCGAGTCGCACTTTACCTTTCGCAGTCATCTTTCGTGTATGATAAACTGTCAGCAAGAAAATGTGAAGGGTACATCCGATTGCTCCCTATTTCTGAACGGATACACATGGTCTTTGCTGCTTCTACACAAAGGATATGAAATCGATAATGAAATTGCTCAGCAGATTTCGTCGTCACTGTTCTGTATAGTGAAGCAGGCAGTGCAGAGGCATTAGAACCCAGGTCTACAGCTCGAGAAGCCGTACAGAATAAAGCGACTACACCACACAAAACAAGGGGAAAAGAATGGGTCTCTTTCGGTACCATCATTTGCTCATATTCAAGGCATCTGACTGGACTCATACAATCGCTGAGTTCACGCTACATGGAAGCTCTGCTCACTATCGTCAAATAAATCGATAAGGACAATCCGCTCCGTGCTAACTCTACTTATCCATACCGTATCGCATCGACAAAGTCCGTGAATCCCCAATATGTAGCGTACTCCGGATAGGTCTTGATGTCAGACGGCTCCTTTCCTGACGCCATCTTCTTGGTATAATAGCACACCTCCTTGATCTTCGCAACAACTTTCTTTACGATGGTAGTGAACTGACCTCTTTCCTCGCTTTTCTTGTTTACTCGGTCTCCTTGTCTCAGCATCGGCTTGATGGGATCGCTTTTTCCTTCTGCGACGAGTGCTCGAGGTTCTTGTAAGGTGCTAACAGACGCGGAGTTCTTCCCAGATGTATGTTTCTCGACAGTCCACATAGCAGCAGTGACATCAGTGAGGAAAATGGTCGCAGCTACTAAGGTGACAAGAAGCCCATGTCTCATGCTGGCGGGACTCTCTAGCCACTGTATTGTCTTGGTGGATAATTGTCAAATGCTGGCAGTCTCAAGCCTGGAGCACATCGCTGGTACCTTTGGAACGTCTTCCGATAAGCCGTCCAACGCTTTGACTGCGCCAAAAGTTGATCTGTCTGGACAAAAAGGATTGATCGCAGCTGCGACATAGGCATGATACGCTGATTTGTAGCACAATGGACGGATGCAGCTGTTTGAGCCCCAGTCCTAATGAGCTCTCCACGTCCATCTCCGTGCTCTCAACTATGTCGTGAGCGATGCCAGATGTCATGTCGTGGAGCAAGAGCGCATCTCGATCGTCTGCTTCGTCCCTCAGGAACAGATCAAATCACACCCAAGAGGGAAATTGAAAAGCAGTGACACGATACACATTTAAGAGTGGTCCTTGTAGAGGCACATGCACTTGATCAAGATGTGCTGATAGGAAGACAAAGGGTGCAGGGTTCAGCGACATCATCTTTTCTCCTACAAGACGCTGGCAGGCTGCTCGAACGTAACACAATAGAGCTGGACTAGGCTGGGTGTACTGGATGACTACTTTGGACTGGAACCTCGGAACCTAGCACTCGTGTGCATGACAGTCGCTTTCCATGTCCCTTGTAGCAATCCAAGTCGTCTACTGCACCATCTCAAGGTTGCCTGTACCTGATAAGAGGACACACGTTGAAGCCGGATACCCGACAATTCCAGTAGAAAACGATCCAACAGCAGATTCAACTCCGGCGCAGTAGATATGGGGAAGAGAAGAGGATGGATCAAAGGTCGAGTCCGAGCTGTAACGGGTCCTGGATTCCACTCTGTAGACTGCCTTCAACGAGTTCACACGTTGAATCAGAGTCTGAAGAGCGAAAAGGAAGTGGAGCGTGGATTGCTCGACCGTCGTGGTCATCTTCTCCTACATTGTCTAAGCAAATCAATTTTCTGACAGACAAAGGAGAAGCCACGAATGTGGAAAAGGCGCAAGCTACCGCGATCAGTAGACTTTTTACCAAGAGTATATGTAGTAGCACGCAATTCAAACGTTCCGTAAGTAGAGCTATAGCAGTCGCCATGTTGCACAGTGTACCCGCCGAAGCTAGCGAGAAATGATGTCAGCTACAGAGGCCTTCATTCCAACAGACGGCGTTAAACTATCGAGTCGCGCTGTATGAGTACGAGGATGAGTTTGACTTGCGTCCCGCCGACTGTCAAATGAGGGGTATGAGGGGTTTGGGTCCGGTAGTGGGTCCGATTCTGCGCTTCTCGCGTGGTTGCTTGGCTTCGTGCTCGTTTTAAGTAATGCATGTTGCCGTTCCACGACGCACAGCAATGTATGGTCAAACTCGAAGTTTATGACGCTGTTTGCTTGTCTAACAAACAAAGTGAGGACCATCTTACCAGGATTCAAAAGAAGTCCATGCCAAAAGAGTGTCGAGGTGCTGTCGAGCTGAGGTGGGCTCATTTTTGCGAAGCCGGCGAGATCGCTTGGGACCCGTTGGACCCAGCTAGCTATGATGTGTCCATTGTGTTATTTTTATTGACCCCTTGCTGTGAATATCGAGACCTAGTAAGTGAGGGCTTGCCCTCGCTTTGAGGAAAACTCCAGTGCACCAGTAGCACATGCTCCGCTTAGGCAAGCAGGTCAGAGATTAGCATTGGGAGAATAAAGAACGACTTGAGAGACTGGGCTCATTAAAGCGGATCGTAAGCTTCGAAAGTCATGGAGAAGTGTAGGTAAGTGTAGCGTGGCACCCTTGATTTGGGGTGCCACGAAACTTCACGTACAATAGTACGTGCAGAGGAAACTAATCTACTCAAACAGCTAGCTTGAGTAAAGGATAAAAAGAGAACTGAATTTAATATAGTTAAGCTATCTATGTAACTTCAGTCTTTATCGAACTATATTAATCTGCATTGTCGTATGACGACAACCTGCTCACCACTCATTGCGCGCATCTCGCAGCGATTGGTGGTAATCTATGGTTGACATGTCTTTTATCAACCAATCTTGGAGCAGCGAATAAATGTTATCCTAACGGGACAATATTCCTTCAATATTATCCATCTCGAATAATATTGGTAGGGAATTGTCACGCAAGACATTATCCCTAATAAATTCGTTTGGCGTCGGGGCTACCCCGTTACGGTAGGGGAAGGCGTTCGTCTGCGTTGACTAGACCTTGGCTACGGTCGTATTCACTAAGAGGTGCAGCGGACCTTATCAGGAAGTGCATGACACAGCAAACACAGTCCCAGGAAGACGATTGGTGATCAATTGAGAATACGCCGAAGCTGAACACGTTTGCTCACATCTTTGTGGGCAAAGCAGGATGATACTGTGCGTTACTTGTACGCATGCATGACGGCTGCGCGCTGCGACATGCTGAGAGCAAAAATAATCCGAACATATCCTTGAAGTCTTGATGGTTAACAGCAGAAAACTTTGGAGTGACAACGCTTACATCTCATGACTTGCGTAACTAGAATGTATTATGGTAAGCAACATTTGCGGCTAGACTTACGTGTGCTATAACAAAACAAAAATCGCCATCATTTGGCTGCTTTATCGGGGCACTTTGAAGCCTGTACTGATGACAGTACAAGCTACTTATTCTGACGACAGAATAAGGCGGTGCCTCGGAACTTCACGTACACTGGTACGTGCAGAGGAAGACGGTAAGAAGGAGCGAGTACTTGGTTAAAGTAAAAAGTTGAACTGTATTTAGTATAGTTAATGTCTGTTAATAAACCACTGTTTATCCTCATCTAACTATGTCTGAATACAAATGTGCATATCAACTATCTGCTCATCACTCATTGCGGGCGTCTGTCGTGGCGCGTCTTCTTTAGTTGATATAATGGCCTGTATCAACCAATTAGGAACTACTCGTAAGTGCTACAAAATATTTGTCTCTATGACAATATTCTGAGAATACAACTCTTATAGTTATATTCTATTAGCAATTTCTTATAAATCGTTATGTAACGGTTCACCCCGTTGCATCACCCCCCCCTCAACCATCAGTCACGTTAGTGAGTGATTGACTTAATGAATACTCGTCCCAAATCATTTGGGACAGGGTTTGCACTTGTTGGTCCAAGTCCACTTTCCAACAGTTCATCGCATGGTTAACAAGTCCATGCGGTGCGCGAGCAAGGCCGCTGAGAGCGCGTCTGCACGTCTCTGTGCGGACGCCAAAGCAGAAAACGCAGCAACTGATGTGTCATCGGTTGCTAAAGCGACTCAGCCTGTGTCACCTGGTGATATAGGCGCTCGTCATGAAGACATGAGTGTCTTCATGAAGACACTCATGTCCTCTCAGAGGATGAGCTCGGTGTCTCATACTCTCCTGATGCGGAAGATGGATCTGTATCGACGGCGATCGAAACCAATCCGCCTGCCAAGCGTGGCATGGATGATGCTATGCGTCGTATCATCTTTGATTCATCTGACGAATCAGATGAACCATCGACGAAGCGAAGGCACTCGAGATCGCGAGACTCGGGCGCTAACAGTGGTGTCGGTTCTCCTATTGACACCACTTCGCAGCGAGGTACCAGTACTTCTGTCGGCACGTCGCAGGAAGAGCGGGACCGCAGCGTGTTGCGTCTCGCTCCCGAAAAGAAAGCATGGCTGCCTCCAAAATCAGTCATGGATCACTTGTCGGCGACGACGAGTGATCGTTATCGAACGCGATTGTTCGATTCATCAAGAATCCATCACCTTGACCCCAGTGCGAAAGACTATCGCGCTTAGAGTGATTTCTTTATCGATGCTTTCTTTAAACATCGATGGTACAGTGGGAATCACAAACGTGATGGTCCCTCACTACTTCAAGCGTGGAACGCCTACATCCACAACCTTGAGGATGTAGGTCGTGACGTTTGGAACGACAAACTTATCAAAGCTCGTGATATGTTGAGAAAAGAACCACGAAAGGTGCACAGCTGCATCGTCTGTCTAAGGAGAAAGGATTACCCTGTCTTTTCTGGGGAGAATCGTGTCCACGTTGTGTAAACAACTCAGCGCGCGCACCTAAGGAGGCTTACCTCCTTACTAGCCCGTGGCGGCGCGCACGTGTCTTTACTGAGATGTACGAAGGGATTAACAACCTGAAATCCCTTTATGACCGTGCCGGGAAGACTTTCTACGGCGGTCCTTCTGCGGCACAGGATGTGCCGCGTCGTACTGCTCAACCAGACCCAGTACGTCAACCATCAGTTGGGAGCGGGGCTTTAAAGTATCCCAGGACGGGGGATAGCCGCGCCACCAGACGAGATAACTCGTCCGACGTCCGTTCACGTCGCGGTGGCTCAACAGCTACTCAACCAGATAGCGCTGGCCACCGCGAGAGTACTCTAATGGAGGTGGAGGAGGAGGGAAGACGCTCTCCAAACTATCGTGGGGAAGCGTGTGTCCCCGAGAGCCTCTTTGATCGCTTAACTCTTGTGTTACGCGGCGAATTTGAACATGAGCGGGACAGGCGTCTCCAACTGGCGGACACTGTCTTAAAGCATCGAGCTGAGTTTGCCTTTGCTCAGCTTGAGAACGAGAGAGCTTTTACATCTCTGCGTGACGAGCTAAGGTTAGCTAGTGTGGATATTGACCGGTCTCGGGCTGAGATAAATGCTCTTCATACCCTTGTCGATGCCCACCATCGGGAGCACAAGGCTCTCTTCGAGATGCTTGAGCGCAAGGGCGTTCTTCATCAGAAGAAACAGCGTACTGATGGTACGGCTTAAGCCGACCAATGTAAAACGTGGGGTGAGTTCGCATCTTACGTGGCAGTTCGATTGTGTATGCGTTGCCTAGGCGATGCAATACACGAAATGGGCCGATGTACTTGGGTAGAAGTTTACTACTACCCAAGTTAGTCACTACATGCTTTGGTAGATTAACCGTAGACAGTATGACTAAGTCACCTCTATCAAACAAAAGAGTGTTTGCCCTTCCATTCTTGTCAGCGTTTTGCTTTTGCTTATCCACCGCTTCGGCGATGGATTCTTGCAAAAAACAGACTACCGTTTCAGGAGCCAGTATGAACTCATCTGATGACTCGTTAGCTTCAGTGCGCTGCGAGTGCACTGCAGCAACATCAACCTTTTCTTCAGTGAGGGCTTCCGCGCTCTCACTGGCATCATCTTTTTCTATATATGTTATTGATATCGGCATCAAACGCAATGACCTCTTCGTCAGAGCGTGATGAGCGTGAACCAAATCGGTTTTTGGTCGCGCGAGTCTCCCCCCCTTAAACCAGAGTTACGCTCTAGTAAGGTGGGTACACGCGGATGGCGCAAGCCATTCACGTAAAACGGTGTATGTGTCGTGGACGCATGCACCGAGTTGTTAACGGAAAAAGTTACCATTGGCAAGAACTCACTCCAACTCTTAAAGGAGTGTACGTATCCTCGAAGTATTTCTTCAAGGACACGATTGGCACGTTCCGTCTGACCATCTGACTCTGGATGATCAGATGTAGACATTTTCAAGCGCGTTCCGAGTGATATGAACACGGAACGCCAGAAATCAGCAGTGAAGCGTGGATCTATGTCTGATACGAGTTCACGGGGCAACCCTTGAAGTCGGAAGATGGTGTCGATAAAACACAAGCACAGCCACTTGCCGTGATTGACTCTGGTACAGCCACAAGGTGTACCATTTTGCTGAATCTGTCAACGAATGCGAGAATACCCGTATTCCCGCGTGCTTCTTTGAGTAACCCGAAGACGAAATCCATTGAGATGGATTCCCAGCACTCTGCCGGAACTGGTAGAGTCTGTAAAGGTGCACGCAGTGAAGGACTTGACTTCACTCGTTGACAGACTTCGCATGCGCGAACGTACTTTCGCACAAACTGATACTAGCGAGGCCAGTAAAAGTCTCGACTCACCGTGAGATATGTTTTCTCACGGCCACGATGTCCTCCTATAGAAGCATCGTGATACTCGAACATGATCCGCAAACGCAGATCAGTATCATCTGGAATGACAACACGTGTTGTGTCACCAGTAACGGCTGTATAATACAGTAAACCGTTGCGAGTAGTGTATCGATCTGATGCAGATCGATACGCAGACGATAATCCTTTTAACTATTCTCCAAACGGTTGTGAGAGATGTGTCAACAACTTCACAATCTCATTATCTTGGGCATACGCCCGCCTCACATCATCATGTAACGTTTAAGATGGTATGGTGGACGTCATAACCGCAACAGTGGCTGTCTCACTGTTGGGTTTCACGACTGGTTCAAAGTCGGCCCGACGTGAGAGTGCATCAGCGACGACATTAAGTCGTCCTGGTTTGTAATCGACCGTAAAGTTGTATTCTGCAAAGAATGACAACCACCGCGCCATTCGTTGTAAAAGGTGCGGGCAGTTTACTGCCGTGCGTGACGACACATGGTCAGTGTAAACAATGAAGGGTCTATCTCCTAACAGATAGAATCTGAACTTCGCGAGTGCGTACTTCATGGCAAGGAGTTCATTGTCATGCACTGGATAGTTCCGCTCAGCTGGTTGCAGCTGACGCGACTGATAGCAGACGACGCGTTTAACACCTTCAAGATCGTAATGAATTAATACACAACCGATTGCGAAATCGCTGGCATCACAGACCACATGAAATGGCCTGTCCTGATCGGCTATTGCTAGTACTGGGGATTGTATCAAGCTCTACTTGATATCATCAAAGGAGCGCTGACATTCAGCGTTCCATAACCACCTCTCGTTCTTTTTCAACAAACGAGAGAGGTGCACAGTCATCTCGGCGTAATTGCGTGAATACTTGTGCAAATACGCCGCTAGCCCAAGGAATTTTCGAAGACCTTTGACATCAACTGGCACAGGCCAGTCGGTGATCGCCTTGATCTTTTCGGGATCAGGACGTACACCGTTCTTACCAACGATGCACCCAAGAAGTGGTATTTCGCTTGTTGCAAATATACACTTCTTGAGGTTTGCATACAATTGATGCTTTCGCATGATTGTAAGAACCTGTCGGACGTGGTACCTGTAAATCTCAACGTCCGACTTTCCATCCATAGCTCGACTATGGATTAATACGTCATCGAAATAACTCGGTGCGAATTCTCGTACTGGTCTCAATAGATGTGATACACATCTGGTGAACTTGGCAGGGGCATTGCTAAGCCCTTGTGGCATTACTAGCCATTCCCAGAGCATGCCGCTAGGTGTGCTCACTGCGGTATAGGGTATGTCCCGTTCTCGCATAAGGAATTGATAGAAGCCATCCATTAAATCTATGGACGAAAAGATGGTACTCTTTGCCTAACCATCAATGATTACGTCCTTCCTTGGTATCGGCGTCTGAGCCGGTACCGTTGCAGCATTCAACTTGTTAAATGAATGCACAATCCGCCACTCTCCCGTTGCTTTTCTCACACAGAAGGTCGAAGAGCTATGTGGGGAAGTTAATTCCCTCACATGGCCCGCAGCTAAACGATCGGCAAAGAACTTGTCGATCGCAAGTACTTGTTCACGAGGCAGTGGCCACTGCTTCATGACACAGTACTTCGAGCCTGGTTTAAGCTCGATCTCGTGCCGAGTACCTTTATCCTTCGGTAACTCGCACGGAACAGTGTCAGGGAATACATCCTTGAATTCAACCAAATCTTCATAGAGAGGATTTGTCTTGAGCGATTCCCACGATTGGGAGTCATATCGCTCAACTCGTGTCTTTTCATCTAGGACAATTTCGTCCATAGGTGAACTACTGAGAACTATCTTGTTCTCAGTGAATACTGTTGCTGACTTTATGTCGGCTACACACTCGTCGTCAGCGACGAGTACACAGATCTGCTTGACTTTGCCACTACGCAGATCACGCAAGAACCTTTTACGTTCGAGCGTTGGCAACTGAGTGATCTCCGAAGTCAACTTCGGAGGCGCAATCAGATCAAGTGTGTAAGCGGCTACAATTGATCCATAATTGACTATGACATTCAATGTCTATGTCATTTCCTGGGGAATTATTCCCTCAGGCTTCGAAGGACTTATTCCTCCGGCTTGCCGGGGACTTATTCCCTCGGGTTTCGGGGACCTTGTTTCCACCGTATTTGTAATATCGGGACTTATTTCCTTAACTTTCTCTAGCTGTGGTTGCACAACCACAGCGAGATCCTCTACGAAAGACTCTCCAGTCGATCTGGGATTATCGTTTCGCTTAACCTGAGCGATCGATGGTTTCTCTTCTAGACGTTCTCCGTTAGGGATACATCTTTGTCCCGGTCCACTCGACTTATTCGAGGGGTGGACCTTCGGCGCAGCCTGTGTGTCCTCACAGCCGCCGGAATCTTGCTCCGAAGTGTAACTGTTTGTTACACTAAGGTTTTGTGCAGTCGTACTAACGACCGTACCACAAGTGAGACCATCGCACTCACTCGTAGTACATTACACGCTTGTGGACACTCCAAAAAAAAAACGTTCAACAGATGGCCATCTGATGAACAAGCGGCAGGCATCGTTACAGTTCGTTGTTGCCAGTTAACTCGTGGTTCGTACCTTCTGAGCCACGGTATTCCAAGGATGACATCAAATTTTTCATCCAAATCCAATTCGATAAAGTCATCGTCATATTGGGTATCTTCTAGCGTATAGTGGATCTTCACTATTCGCTTCATGACGGTTACGGATGCGCCTGTCGCAAGACGTACCGTCATCCTCGTAGGAGGTGTGTCACATTCACTGAACTTGAAGTGACCATCTTTTAGCGATTGGCGTCGCACAAAATTGTTGG